ACCACCTAAAGCCATCAACTAGGGTCTAGGGTGGCTCGGGGTCGACGAAACCACCTAAGCCATCAACTAGGGTCTACGGTGGCTCGGGGTCGACGAAACCACCTAAAGCATCACTGTACCATAACAAACTATTCCTTTTGCAAATGCATTTAAGCATTTAAGAATCACTCTAACATATGTAACTATATGTATTTAAGAAGCATTTAACCATTAGAATAACATAAGCATCAGTATGTAAACATTTTCAGTCTAACATAAGCATCACTGGAGTTCACATTACATAGTGGAGTTCAAATGCACAATCCATCCTTTTCTCACAAAAGGATGAATAGCATATTACTAGGTAGATAAACAGCCAGAGTTCACAATTAGTACTAGAACCATACATTACACAACCATAATTCTAAGTTACTAGGTCATTGCACAACCATCCTTCCCAAAAGGTCTGCAATGCCCACTAACCTCAATTCATCTTGTTCAGTTCTCCAAGAGGGACCAGCCCCTTAGTGGGCTGGGCGCCTCCCTCCCTAGGGCCCATGCGCCTAGGGTTTGGGGGAACCCTAAAGGTGGGGGGGGGCGCCCCCCCTTGCCTTGGGGGGCAAGGCAACCCCCCTTGGCCGTCGCCCCCTCCTCAGATTGGATCTGAGGGGGCCGGCCCCCCTCTCCCTTGCCCCTATATATATGTGGGGGTTGGGAGGGCAGCCGCACCCAAGTTCTGGCGCAGCCCTCCCCCTCTCCCAAGTCCTTCTCTTCTCCTACGGTGCTTGGCGAAGCCCTGCAGGATTACCACGCTCCTCCTTCACCACCATGCCGTCGTGCTGCTGCTGGATGGAGTCTTCCCCAACCTCTCCTTCTCCCCTTGCTGGATCAAGGCGTAGGAGACGTCACCGGGCTGTACGTGTGTTGAACGCGGAGGTGCCGTCCGTTCGGCACTAGGATCATCGGTGATTTGGATCACGACAAGTATGACTCCATCAACCCCGTTCACTTGAACGCTTCCGCTTAGCGATCTACAAGGGTATGTAGATGCACTCCCCTTCCCCTCGTTGCTAGATTACTCCATAGATTGATCTTGGTGATGCGTAGAAAATTTTAAATTTCTGCTACGTTCCCCAACACGAACCTGGGCGTCGAGGACGAGCGTCGGGGCGTGGCCTGGGGACTGAAGTTGGGCGACGAGATGAGCGCCTGGATGCGGGGCTGATGCAGGGACGTGAGGAAGAAGACGACTGGTTCGAAATTCAAATCAAGGGCATAATTGTCTATTTGTACTTTTGTCGGCTGTGTCTGAAAATCCCTCAACGTCTTATAATTCTGAGTAAATTACATAGAAGTACCACAATTGAGGCATTGGAAGCAGATTGGTACCAAGATTGGTATTTTTTACGTGTCAGTACCAAGATTGGGGCGAGCCGTTGCAAAAAAGACTAAAACTGCGTTTTATACGTATTGACAGAAAAGCTGACCGGTTGGGCCCGCCCATCAGGCACCATGCTGGCCAGTGCGCACGTGCCCGCACGCTGACTCGGACGAGCCCGGGTCGAGCCGTTTAGGGCGCGGCTGGTGCGGTCGAGCCACACCCCACTCACTCCCCCCGCTCTGCTCTGCGTTCTTCTTCCTTCTCTCTGCCTCGCCCCCGCCGGCCGCCACACGAAGCTGCTGCAGGCATGGTTTTTGAAGACGAGAGCAGCGACGACAACTCAAGCCTCCCGTACATGCACTCGGAAACCTCCACCGATGGGCTCAACCAGGTCAGTTACTCCATTGGAGCTAGGGTTAGGGCTAGGTTTAGAAATTTTGGGGATTTTTCTGTGTAGGTGGTCTTTGGTGTGAGGATTTCGTTTGATTTGCTTTGTCCTCGTCCTCTGCACATGATGCTAACTTGGATTTTGCTTGGGCAGGTGCCTTTCTCTCTTGAGGACCCGGATTACAAGGATTTTTCAAGTCTGCACTTGTTGTTTTCCTAACAATAGTAAGATGTCAATCATATTAACCCTCAGGAGTTTAGCTTGAGCATGAAGTCACACATTTCACTGTTTGATTTTGAAACTATTATTCTAAAACACAATAATTATTTAGTAACACTAATATTTCTTAAATAAGTAGTTTGACCACAGTTTGACTAGATTTGACCCAAATTCAAAAAATTGAAATAATTATTTAGTAACACTAACATTCTGGAATAATTATGTAGTAACACTAATATTGCTTGACTAAGTAGTTTGACCAGATTTGACCAAAATTCAAAAAATTGAAATAATTATTTAGTAACACTAACATTCTTGAATAATTATGTAGTGACACTAATATTTCTTGACTAAGTAGTTTGACCAAATTTGACCAAAATTCAAAAAATTGAAATAATTTTTTAGTAACACTAACATTCTTGAATAATTATGTAGTAACACTAATATTTCTTGACTAAGTAGTTTGACCAGATTTGACCAAAATTCAAAAACACTGTAATAATTATTTAGTAGCACTAATATTATTGAATAATTATTTAGTAACACTAATACTTCTTGAATAAGTAGTTTGACCAAAGTTTGACCTGATTTAACCAAAATTCAAAAAACTGAAATTTGAGCATAACTTTTTTTCCTTTTAGAACATGAGGATTATAAAAATTTGCAAACAGGCCGTAGGCAGTCAAAATCGGATGCGGATTTTCGTTCTGAACATTTTGATATGTTATATGTTTTTTTTCAACATCGTATGCAAAAGTTATAGCCGTTTTACTTTTTCATGACACTTTTTGCAAAACATGTCCAAATTTAAGTTTTTAATTTTCCTAACTAGTAGATGTAGTAATATAACTATATCTCGAAGGATTTTATTTTTTGAAGTTTTTATCATTTTCTTTTGATTTTTTTAAAACAAAAAAGGCGATCCACCGGGGGGTAGAGTTTGAAAATGGGACCTTTAGTCTCGGTTTGAGAGACAAACCGGGACTAAAGGGCATCGCACCCTTTAGTTTCGGTTCGTGTCTCAAACCGGGACTAAAGGTCTAATCTTTAATCCCGGTTTGAGACACAAACCGGGACTAAAGGGCATCGCACCCTTTAGTCTCGGTTCGTGTCTCAAACCGGGACTAAAAGGCTCAGGTGAATCGGGACTAATGCCTTAGCCGCACAAACCGGGACCAATGCTCACATTAGTCCCGGTTCGTGACTGAACTGAGACTAATGTGAATATTGCCCCGTGACCAAAGCCCTGTTTTCTACTAGTGTAGGCTCTTCAGGTTGGGCATGTCCCACAAATAGAGGCTCTTCGGCTTGGGAAACCACCCCGTGAGGAACTCTAGCTTCTCTCCATTGTACGCTTTGTCGAGACATAGATCCATCAAATTCGCTAACCGAGAAAGGGATGGCAAAGGGTCTTCTCTCAGATGCGACCAGGATAGATGCAGTGAACACAAGTTCTGCTCCACGGCTTGAAAGAGAGGAGACAACGCCCACGATGCCCCTTCTGGTAATCTTCCGTTCAAACTTAGCTTCTGCAGGTTAGTCGGGAGGGCGTTCAACACCAGAACCTCATTCTCATCACTCGCATTCACATTTAGGTTGGACAAGAATTGCATCTGAACTAGAGACTCGCAGAGGTGTTCACAAAAGATTCCCTTCACGACCCATATCCTCAAGCTTCTTAGTTGCCTTAACTCGCTTAGTTGTCTAATGGATCCATCCACTTCCTGCACTTCCAAAGCTTGCAGAGTCTGCAGGTTTGTTAGGTTCCCAAGCCCAATAGGGAAGCATACACCTCTAGCATATCGTATATTTTGTATTCGTCCAGATATAATGTTTTTCTCAGCAGGGCCGGCCCTGTGTTTCGGGAGGCCCTAGGTGAACTCGACGACATGGGCCCCTATGTCCTAAGTCCTAAGACAATATATATGTATGCATGTTATATATATATATATATATATATATATATATATATATATATATATATATATATATATATATATATATATATATATATAACTTATTAAAAGTAATTTTCAATCACATATCTTTAGTTTAAAATATGAGTATAATAATTCAAATGACTCCATCGAGAACAATAATAACCAAATTCGAACCGACTACATAAAAAACAATGGTACTAAAAAGATTGCAAAATGAAACTAACATGACATGATTACCTCAAATAAGAACGAAATTAGACTGACTCCATCGACAACAACAATACTTCAGTGCTTCAAAAAAAGTTTCTTTGGGCATTTCTTGATGCGAAGTCATTAAGGGCACAATCAAGATCAACATTGTCCAAGATATCCTTCTCAAATCATGAAGAAAAGATCAAAAGAGCATACAAAAAATTAGGAATTTATAGATTGACAAAAAAATGATAGATTGGATTACAATACGTACATACTAAATAAAGAATAAATAAACTACTGAGATTGTCAAATTGAGGTTTGAGGATGGACAGGAACATGGATGCGTACTTCTTGACTTCTAGTCGGATGCGTACTTGTATAGGTATTGCCGTATTGCCACGATGCCGCCGTGCCGGATGCCGGATGGCCGATTGGCCGGGCTGCCGCCTGCTGTCGGACTGCTGTGTGGCGGCGATGGCGAGCCGGCGAGGCGAGGGCGACGCGGCAAGGGCCAAGGGGCAAGGCGCCGAGCGAGCGAGAAGGCCGACGGGCGGGCGAGGACGACGAACCTATGAAGGAAACGTCGAAACGAGCGTGAGTCACGGTGCCGCTTCGCCTACGCGTGTCCATCAGCGATCGCTAGCTAGCTATATCGGGGACGCCTAGCCCATCCTATTTTTTTCTTTAATTCTTTTGTAATTTTTTACTTGCTTTTTGCTGGGCTATAGTATATGTATATACTCCATCATGTGCCCCACCCCACTAGTAGAAAAAGGGTCAAATGTGAAGCACATTAGTGCCGATTTGAATTTGAGCCGGCACTAATGTGACCATTAGTGCCGGTTCCAACGGCTAGGCAGGCGGGCATCATTAGTACCGGTTTGTGGGTAATCTTTAGTACCGGTTCATGCCACGAACCGGTACTAATGAGGCTGTGTCAGGCTATGGTCAGTCTGGGGCCCTCACGAAGACCTTTAGTACCGGTTCATGACATGAACCAAGCTGATTTTTAGTCCCACCTCGCCAAAAGAGAGGCAGTATGAGCGGTTTATAAGTCGTGAGTGCACAGACAATGACGAAGAATTGCAATGCTCACCTACATGTTGATTAGCTTCAAGCCTTGCGGAATAGCATAGATTGCACTGAGCTATGTGCAGTACAGTCTACACTATTCCGAATGGTTTGAAGCAAATTAACCTGGGCCATCGCCCCGTCACCCATGCCCCAGGGCCGGCCCTGTTTCTCAGCAAATAGGTGCCTAAGCTTATTTAGCTTGCCAATCCCTGCAGGCAGCTCATGTATGTCAGATCCACAAAGGTCCAGTGTCAATAAATTTAAAAGCTTCTCAATAGATTTAGGGAGAAGCTTCACTTTTGAGTACCGCAAACCCAAATAGCGGAGATTAAAAAGATCCCCAATGGCATCTTGAATCTTCTCAATGGGTAGACCACTTAATTCTAGCAGTCATATGTCTTGACTTCTCAGATAGTAGAGGCAATAGAGGGAATGAGGACCAGAAAATGCCAATGGTGGCCGCGCTGCAGGCAGGCCGGAATCTCGGCCGCTGCATTACCGCGGGGGTGCGTGCTGGCATTGTATATGTCATGTATTTGCTTTTATTTTGGCCTGTATTGAACTTGCCAGGTCCCACGCACATGTCCCCGCAAAAAAAAGGTCTCACGCACATGCAAAAGGCAGCTAGGCTCCTGATGCTCGTCTGACATGTACGCACAGCATCACTGGCTGAAAATCTGTACGCATGGCTTCAGACGTGCACCTGCCATGTATGCACAACATGGCGACTCTGGTGCATGCATGTTTCATGCACAGTCCGCGCAGCTCCCTACGCCGTGGTGCTTGCATGGCTGACCACAAGTTCTTTCAAGCACGACGTGGATCATTGCTTGCCAGTAAGTTTGCGATTCTTCATTAAGCGTACTCATGGTTAATTCAATCTCTGTGACTGGATAATTAAAATGACTAGTAGAATGTCCGTGCATTGCCACGGGCCTTTTGCTGTATATAAATTACAGTGAATTTTTAGCCCTTCCAACGATATCGCCTCAACATACTTGTCAATGGATTCTTTTTGAACGTTGACATAATCCATCTTCATCTCTTTCATATTCCGCAAAATAAACAAATAAATATCATGCACAATAAAAAATATATAAACACCTTTTGTATTATCATGCATAATAAATATATAAAGAACAATTATTTGTATGCACCTGTTCTGATTGTGTAAATCCAGGTGATTTTCTGCCAGGTCCATCATAAAGCTTTTTCAATCGAAAGCCATCTGTTTTCAAAGCATCATGGGAAGCCATCAATTTTGATCTATGATTAACAAAAGTAAACATATAAAAATATTAAAATAAAAAACTGATATACAATATATATTCAATGGTCAGATGCTAAATGCGAGTAGGTGACCGTTTTTAGTCGAAGTGAGTGGCATTGTCATTTTTAGTAGAGTGAGTTGCATTCCAATTTGAATAAGCTATGCCATGTAGTGAGAGAATGAGAGTGAATTAACTTTTTTCAAATAAAAAGAAAAGGAGCGGC